GGGGGTAAATTTTCATGTATTCCATATGCAAATTTAAGTGAGAAATCAAGAGAATGTTTTTCTGCATCATGGGAACAAAGTTTGCCCACATCGAGGTTCAGCAGTGGCAAAATTCTGCAGCTGGCAAGCCTGCCAGGGAGTGGATGGGAATTTTTGTGCATGCCTGTACCTGTGCTGTCATCCTTCTACTTGATTCTGACAGAAGCTCTTCAGAAGAAGGGGGTGACTAACCACATAACAGGAAACCCTACTTTTCCTTTCCTTTCTGGCCCTTTCTGAGCCCAACCAAGCACCATGGAGTAGTTAGCTATGTACTGTAACTTAAGTCTTTGTTTACTATGTACTGTACCTTTTTACATCTAAGGCTTCTGCCGTCTGCAGAGATGGGGTAAGAAATTCTGGCCCATTGAAGTCAATGGGAGTTTTGCCACTGATTTCAATGGGGCCAGGGTTTCACCTAGGAAGTCATTTTGTGTTCAGTTAAGCACAATATGTTACAGCGAATGCATCCACTGCAAGTTCTCATGTTGACTTCACTTTTGTTGTTTCTTCTCGTACTCTAAACTCTAAACATAGATAATTCTGACTCAAAAACATACATATACATCTGTTGTTTCTACAGAAGCCTTCTACAGTGCCTCCTTCTCCTCTAACAAACCAGCTTTTAGCAAGAATAAGGGTCAATGCCTCCATCATTCTGGGAGAGCTACATCTTCACAGCTAACTTGTGAGGGTAACTCATGCACTGTTTTTATTACCTATATTCCTTTTCCCTTTGCCTAATCCAAAACTCCTGGGGAGTTAGATGATGTGGGCACAACCTCAGCTGGTATCAACTGTCATAATTCCACTGAAATGTAGTAATGACAATTTACACCAGCTGAGGATCTGCCCATAGGTAGGTCTGTCTGACTAGGACTTCATGTCTAGGCATCTGCGGTACACCTATTTTTTAGGCTCACCGGTTCTTTTTGTTCTCCAAATGCTGTGATACAAGAGGGGTCAGGGTTGGCCTTTATTGTTTAATCATTAAACATTTTCTTCATGTTAAACTAATATACAGGGCCTGTGATTGGCTTATGACATTTGATTATTCGGCTCCCATTCTTTCAGCAAGGTATTGGCAACCAGCAAGTGACTCAGAAAAGCACATTTTAATTAACAGCTTGGCAGTTTATTCTCCCACCAAGCTGCATGTGAGTAATTCCCATGAGCATTAACAGAAGTTACATAAATGTACTGAGGAATGGATATATATTTCCCTTTAATTCTGAAACACAAGTCAGTGTTCGTACGTGCACAAAATGGTGTTACTGTGTGAACTTGTAGAATGCTTGTGGAGAGCTAAACGAGTGATGCTTTGCTTTGGTATTACCCAGTTGTTATAATACTCTGTCAGTAATAATGTTCAGTAACATGGTTCAAAAGTACATTAATGTAAAATATATTTGTGTGTCTACCTCTTTTACTAGCTACAACACATCCAATCACATACTAACTGAAATCCTAAAAGAGACCACAAAGTACTACTGTAATATGAAAGTATGTTAATATATTTCTGTTGGGAATGCTGTCCATGGCTTTTACAGCTCTTTGCAATGTTGTTTGCATATTGTTAAGGCCAAACAAGCAGTTTTATCATATTATCTAGCTTTCTAAGTGTAAAAAAAAAAAAAGAAAAAGAGGCTACTCTCCACCCCTGCATATTCTTTCAAATGTAGTGGTTCCTTCCTAAATCTTTTTAACTGTTAAATGAAGAAAATGCTACAGCTGTAAGAATATTGGCCCTAATTCAGATCCCATTTACACCAATGAAACTTCACTTGTTTCGGTGCAAATGCTGTTGTTACGCAGGAGCATCAGGTCAGAAATTTTAAATTTTAATGATAAGGCTGGCCTGAGGTCATATGGGGCCTTCTGAACATTGAATACTATCTAGGAGAAGGGGAAAACTTGACTCACTTTCGACCCTGCTTGAATTCAGGTTCCTCGGAGCATAATGGAACTCCCTGTGGTCACAGGGTTTGCAAATGCTGAGGGCTAGCCCTGAGAATGAACACTAAGAAACCCCAACTTAAAGTGTCCCCAGGTGTACAGAAAATTGGGTAAGTGCTAAAGGAGAGGCAATGATGCCTAATGAATAGAGCAATGTACTGGAACTCAAGACCTGGATTCTATTTCCAGTTTTGCTACTAGCCTACTGGGTGATCTTGAGCAAGTTACTTCACCTCTCTGTGTATCAGTTTCCCTATCTCGATTATAAAGATAATGATAATCACTTTGTTAATCACGTTGAGATCTGCTAATGAAAAGTGGTATACAAGCTCTAGGTATTATTATTATTGTTAATGAAAACTAAAGTTAAAAAAAAAGATATCTAATCATTCCAATGTCTTTGTACTAAGCATTTTCTCAGAGGTAGACAGTTTATTCGTATTACTATTCCTTAATTTTCCCCACTTCTGTGGCTTACATTCTGGAAGTGATTTTGAACTTAATACTCAGGGAGGAAAGACCAAACAAAAAATATGGCCCTGTTGGCAATATGGTGACAGAAAAGAAAATCCCAGAAAGAACAGAGGAATTGTATGCTCAAATTGTCACGTGCATCTGCTCAAGCTCATTCTCTTTTAATGATTACAGCGGTGCTTATGTTAGTAAAATAAGGGAAGCAAACTAAATGCTGGAGCAGAGTGGAATTGTTATTATGCACTCTCCAGGACTTGTTCCGTGTACAGTAGGTGTTTACTGCCACCTTCCGGGGAGCCTGAAAACTGTTCTGACTTACACATGTAGGTCTGGTCTACCCTAAAAAGTTAGGTCAACCCAGCTACATAACTCACGTCTGTGAAAAATCCACACCTCTGAGGAACTAACCTTGGTGAAAACAGTGGTAGGTTGATGGAACAATTCTTCTGTCAATCTAGCTGCCACTGGTTGTGAGGTAGATTACCTGCACTCACGGGAGAACCCCAGGTTGTGTCTACACTGAAGCACTCACTATAGCTTTGCCACTCTAAGGTACCACAAGTACTCCTTTTCTTTTTGCGAATACAGACTAACATGGCTGTTACTCTAAAACCTGCAGTGTTTCAAGTGTAGACAAGCCCATAGCTTCTCATTTTACTATGACTTCAGTGAAGGGAGAAACAATGAAACGTACTCCCCAAAGGCACCAAACAAAAGGCTCTAATGTTTTACCATGATATTTAGGGCTGGGTGAATTAGTTCTGATTTAGAAAACAAGAAAGAGCCCAAAGTTTTGAAGCCCAAAGTTCAAAAAGTTTAAATGCAGTACTTTTTTTCCATTTTTGTCAATCTCGATGCTTCCCAATTTGGGCCAATACCAGAAATACAGAGGCTGTTCTTGTGTTATTTACAACCTGACCGGAAAGAAGGAACACCAGAATTCTCATGAGGGAGAATGCAGACTTCAGAGGATCAGGTACAGTAGTTGTCATGTCTTGGGTTAGTTATCTAAACCAAACATGAACTCTGCGCCTTTTGAGATTGACATATCATTTTTCATAATAACTTTGAACTTCTATAGCACCTTGCCCATGGATCTCAAAGTTCATCGCAATGAATTGAGCCTCACAACACCGATCAGGGAGTGAGGTACTATTATTCCCATTTTACAATGATGAAACTAAGGATTTGTCTACACTTACTGGGGGATCGACACGCGGCGATCGATGGATCGGCAGTTGATTTGTGAGACATACAGTAGAAGCGCCTTCCGACTTTCTAGAATATGCTAACATCTTACTGTAGTAGTAGAAGAATCATTGCAAGCTCATAACAAGAATGTATGTCTAAACAGATCAAACTCTGCAATCTCTGGGTGGAAAGTGAGTTACGCTTAATATTATCCGTAGTATTATCTGTTTACAGACAGAAACTATTTATTTAATTTCAGAAATTGTGAGTCCAATTCAGATAGTTGCTTGAAAGCCTTTTGTAGTCTTTTGGATCCCACTCATCTAAGCGCACTTCATCCAAGAGCAGCAAAGTCCACAGGGATAAGGACTTTAGAGGAACTCATGAATCAGAAGTGAACCAAGATTCAGGCGCAACATTGCAGAAGATGGAGTGACTAGAGCCCTGAGAGACAAGGATCCTGGACTGACTTCAGGTTCCCAAATGACAATGAGGCTGACTTAGAAAGCCTGCAGATCAGAGGACCGATCTTACCTAGGTATAGTACAGACAAGACATGAGAAAAAGAAGTAGGAAAGGCCTGTATCCTAAGAGGGGACACAAAGACTCCATGATCAGGAGACTGTCACTTGGAGTAAAAGAACAGATGGTGCACAAACAGCTGACAGTCCTGACTTCCTAGCACCCAGGAATCCAATAACAGCATACCTAACAATGTGACAGTGGCATTCACACATGTGACCGTCACCTCTATGCATCTAACACCAAAGCAGCCAGTGTCAAGACATCAAATACTTGTAGCCATCCCCAAGGATGGACCACCTGACACAGAGAAGCCCTGCACAGGATCATCTATGCCGATGTCATGGGGTGCTCCACTCACCCCTACACTGGCACCTCCTCCTGGTCACGCTGTGGAATAACTGAGGTAGATGCCTGAAGGGTTAATGTTTAGCTAGTCCACCTGGAAGCAGGCGGGGCACACCCTGACTGTTTCGTAGAAGCAATGCACACATTGCTCTATCCAAGGACAAGGGCTAGATATGAACCATGAGAACTTGATTGTTTGGACAGCAATTGTGGGAGGCTTTCTTAGCCTGGGCTCAAGGCCTGAGAACCAGGATTGTAGTATATAAAAGATGCAACTAAGTATATTAATCAACGTCATACATTCCTTTGTGTATCTTTTTGCGGTAGCAGTGTGTAATGCTTAGGGGGGAGAAATATAATAAAAGGAGAAGGTGGAAGGCGGGGGGGGCAGAGAACGCCCATCTCAGCTGACCAGCCTGCCTGCTTGCAAAAAGCTGGGTTCTGTCTCATCACTGAACCGCCACAACTGGCGCCCAACGTGGGGCCCTCAGCACTCACCTCGCCCAGCAAGGGTTTCAGACGCGTCACTCATCCGCTTCGCGGATCCCGGTGAGTATTTTTCATTGTGGTAAGTATGGGAAGCTCCCTCTCTGCTTTGCAAGTGCAACACCGCAATGAGCTGCAGTATTTGCTGCGTAAGGCTCAGCATGACTGCCCGGCTCGAGCACTTACTCTCCTGCTACAGGAGGTGTGTGCCAAGTGCCCGTGGTATCCTGAAGCCGGAAGCCTTAAGCTAGCAGACTGGGAGCGATTGGGCCAGACATTGCACAAAGAGCCTCGGGCGCCCGTGCAGGCTTTACATGCCTGGCACCTCTGCCGCGATGTGGTACAGCGTGTCGCCTCCGACAGGCCCTCCCTCGCGAGGCTGGTGATCTCACCACCCCCGTCTGCTCCTGCAGCCATCCCCCCTCCTGGCGATGCGACACAGATTGTCGCCTCGGAAAGGCCCTCTCCAGCACCAACAGAGGGGCTGCCGATCTCACCACCCCCGTCTGCTCCTGCAGCCATCCCCCCTCCTGGCGATGCGACACAGCGTGTCGCCTCGGAAAGGCCCTCTCCAGCACCAACAGAGGGGCTGCCGATCCCGCCGCCCCCGTTCGCTCCTGCAGCCATCCCTCCCCCTGCTTCGCCCCCAGTGCCTCTATTACCACCGCCTCCCTGGCCTTCCCCACCGGAGCCGGTGTGTGATCACCCTCCCCCCGTGGGGCCCCCCGGAGGGTCATCTGCATCTGCTCAGAAGCTTTCGCTGGTGCAACAAATGGTTCACGCAGCAAAAGCTCGATCAGATCTTACTGCGGAGGAGCTGGCTGATCTGGTCTCAGTTTGCCCGGTGACCTGGCAGAATGATGACCAGGGCAACCCCGTGGGCACCTGGACCACTTTGTCATACTCGGTGGTTAGAGAGGTGAGGAAAGCAATTCGTGAGTTTGGCCTGACTAGCACCTTTGTGCGTGGTCTCATTGAAGGGATAGGTACTGGGTACTCCCTAATCCCTGAGGATTGGAAAACGCTGCTGCGCATGATGTTGTCACCTAGTCAGTATGTTATTTGGCTTAGTGAGTATCGGCAGATGGCAGAACGCCAAGCTCAGGTACATGCAGCGCACGGTATCATTTATGAGCAATTGGCAGGGGAGGGCCCGTTTGCTACTATTCAGATGCAGTCTCAACTCCCTCAGGCCGTCTTCCCCATTATTTCCACCTGTGCCCAGCATGCTTTCAAGAAGGTCCCGGATTCAGGCAAGCCTACCAAAAGCTTTGTCAGTATCCGTCAGGGTGCCTCAGAGTCCTTTTTGGATTTTACCAACAGATTGCATGAGGCTATCCTCCGGCAGGTGGATAACACTGAGGCAGCTCACGAGCTCCTGTTAAAATTGGCAGTTGAAAATGCAAACGAGGATTGCCGCCGTGCTCTCCAGGCAGCACAAGCCTCTGGTATTTTAGAGCTCTCAGACATGCTGCGGGCGTGCCAGAACATTGGCACACAAGCCCACAAGGCTGGAGTTCTGGCTGCCGCCCTCAGAAAAACTGGGAAGGAGGGGAAGCGTTGTTACCGCTGTGGTAAGGAGGGTCATTTTCAGCGGGAGTGTCGCTCATCTAAGGCACCAGCCCGACCCTCAAAGAAGTGCCCCAAGTGTGGGAAAGGTTATCACTGGGCTAATCAGTGTCGTAGCGGGTCGGGAAACCACGCGACGGGTCCCCCCCGAACCCAGGGCCAAACGAGGGTGTTTCCTACTCAGGCAATCGCTCCTCTGCCTTGGAATCCGTAGACTCTATGAGGGCGGCGACTGCTGGAAGTGCAGGGCTCGATTTGATCATGCAGGAGGACACTGACTTTCGGCTGCCAGGGGAGGTCTGTGCTATACCTACACAGGTGACGGGACCTCTCCCTGCCGGCTTTGTAGGTCTTGTTCTCCCTCGCTCACATGCTGGGAAACAGGGCTTTTTTGTCATTCCAGGGGTCATTGATGCTGATTACACTGGCATTATTAAGGTTCAGGTGTGGACTCATCTTCCACAGTCGCTCCCGCATGGACGGTCAATTGCACAATTGATTTTAGTCCCCTATCAGGTGCCAGCTGCCGAGGATCGAACTCGGGGCGGAGGCAGCTTTGGATCGACGTTGTCTCACTCGCCGTCTCACAGCGCGTCTTCTCCACTTGTTGCTCTGACAATGTCAGTCCGCCCCTCGAAGCCTCAGTTAACACTTCTCTTAGATGATGTTCCTTTTACAGGGCTGGTGGACACTGGAGCTGACGTTACGGTGATTCGTGATCTGGAGTGGCCGGTTAATTGGCCTACGGTTCCTTCTAAAGAATTGTGGGGGATCGGGGGTAGTAAACCCGGGCGCCAAAGTTTGTCTTGGGTCACGGTCTCTAAACCGGGAGGCCATACCCTTGTTACTATCCGCCCTTTTGTGCTCCCTGTCCACCTCAATATTTGGGGCCGTGATTTACTTACAAAGTTAGACACCACCCTCGATATTAACATCTGATGGCCCAAAACCCTCCCTCACCCACCGTGCCCTCCGCCTTACCCTTGGTATGGCAATCCTTAGAGCCCGTATGGATTGATCAGTGGCCCCTCCCTCTAAAAAAGCTAAAAGCACTTCATTCGCTTGTGCAGCAGCATTTGCAAGCACAGCGACTGGAGAGCTCCACTAGTCCCTGGAACACCCCGGTGTTTGTTATTAAGAAAAAATCGGGTGCTTGGCGACTGTTACATGATTTAAGGGAAATAAATAAACGCATCCAACCTATGGGCCCCTTGCAATTTGGCTTGCCAAATCCAAATTTAATTCCTCAAACCGATCAACTTTGTGTGTTAGATTTAAAAGATTGTTTTTTTTACCATCCCCCTTTGCCCTCAGAATTAGCTGCTGTTATTTTGGCCTTTCAACCTTTTGCTGATTGTCCCTTTAATTTAATTGTGGATACCTATTATGTTTATTAGGTAATTAATCATTTACCCCTTGCCCTCATTACCCCTCAGGTTGATGCAGACCTCCTTCGCCTGTTTTTGTTTTTGCAGCACCTTTTTGCCACTTGTCATTTCCCTTATTTTGTTGCTCATATTTGCAGTCATACCCCTCTGCCTGGGCCACTCACTGAGGGCAATGCACGCGCCGGTCGCGCGTTGCGTGGTCAGGTAAATTCCCTTTTTTCTGACCCCATTGAAAGCCATGCCTTTTTTCATCAGTCTGCCTCTGTTTTGGCCCGGCAGTTTCACATTCCTGCTGATCATGCACGTTCCATTGTTCGTTCCTGCCCCCACTGTGCTGCTGCTGCTCCTACTTTTTCTTATGCCGTTAACCCCCGAGGTACCGCAGCAAATCAGCTGTGGCAGATGGATGTTACTCATGTGCCACAATTCCGCCCCTATTTGTTTTTACATGTTTCCGTTGATATTTATTTAAGTTTTTTTTTGGGCTTCCCCACAACGTGGGGAAGCCACTAACAAAGTTATTCACCATTTGCTGGCCTGCCTTTTTGTTATGGGTCGCCCCTGCCAAATTAAAACAGATATGCCCCAGCCTACTGCTCTGCAGCCCTCCCCACCTTTTGTGCCCGCTGGAACGTCCGTCTTACACACGGAATCCCTTATAATTTCACGGGCCAAGCCATTGTTGAACGTGCCAATCGCACACTCAAAACCTTGCTAGATAAACAATTAAAACAAGGGGAGCTGCGTCTCCGAACCTTAGGAGACATTTAACAACAAATGCATATCCTCTTGTTTACTTTAAATAATTTAACACTGAGTGCAGATCAGCAGACCCCTGCGGATCGGCATTTTCACAAATCTGAGGTACTGGAAAGACCACGTGTCTATTACTGTCAGCTGCCCGATCCACAGTGGCTGGGCCCAGTACCTCTAATCACTTGGGGTTGGGGATATGCTGCTGTGTCTCTCCCTGCAGGACCGTTGTGGGTTCCAGCTCGGTGTGTGCGACCGGCACTTAAACAACATGGCATGGCACCAGGGACTGTCGAATCCCATACCGGAGTTTCAGCTGACCTTGGAGACCGCGTTGCCCCCCGAGTCGACAACGACAGGACGGAAACGGAGGAGGCGTAGCGTCCCAAGCCAGCCCGTGACATGGGGAGCAGTAAAAGCATTGGTCGCCGCGGCTCAACGAAGACTGGCAGCAGATCAACAGCCAGAGACTCCTGAGACTTTGTTTGTGGCGATTCTCGCCCAAATCACTGCTAATTCTGTGATGATTGTGTGCCTTTTGTGCCTGCTATTTCCTAAAAGAAGTGTACCCCTTTTAGATGATTATATTGCAGATGTTGAGCTTTTGGTTATTTTGTGTTTGTAATTATTGGGCTTATTTTTTGCTGCTGCTGTGTACAATGTATTCTTTCCTTGTTAAGATTTTGTAAAATTTTGCCCTGGAAAGCTCCCCAGGTTATGTCCTTGTCTGTCTGGGAGTTAAATAGCATGACAAAACAAATTGACGGCTACCATGAGATGGCCAAATATTAATAAATAAAAAACGGGGAGATGAAGGGTTAATGTTTAGCTAGTCCACCTGGAAGCAGGCGGGGCACACCCTGACTGTTTCGTAGAAGCAATGCACACATTGCTCTATCCAAGGACAAGGGCTAGATATGAACCATGAGAACTTGATTGTTTGGACAGCAATTGTGGGAGGCTTTCTTAGCCTGGGCTCAAGGCCTGAGAACCAGGATTGTAGTATATAAAAGATGCAACTAAGTATATTAATCAACGTCATACATTCCTTTGTGTATCTTTTTGCGGTAGCAGTGTGTAATGCTTAGGGGGGAGAAATATAATAAAAGGAGAAGGTGGAAGGCGGGGGGGGCAGAGAACGCCCATCTCAGCTGACCAGCCTGCCTGCTTGCAAAAAGCTGTGTTCTGTCTCATCACTGAACCGCCACAGATGCCCCCTTCTGCAGTTTACACGCCATCACTCTGTCTTTCTATCTCTGGTCTGCAGCTCCTCTCTTGCTCCAGGACCCTCAGCATCTCCTTCATGACTTAACCCTCTGGCTATGCCACTCAGCATTCCCCTGTCCAGGGTACACTCCATCAGCAGTCCTAGGCAGTCTTCCCATTCACTGCCTCAGGTCTATGCTTTGTCCTCAGTGGCTGGTAGGGGAACCCACACCCATCCTCTACTCCGGGTTCCAGTTCAGGGACCCTTAGCTCAGCAGTTCTGAGTTTCCTCTCCCTCTACTCCTTCCCTGGACTGCTTCCTACTCTCTGGTTCCCCTTCTCTCTCTGGGTGTACCAGCTCCAAGAACCCACCACCCTGTCCCCAGGGAGCGACTGCTGCCCGACTTCCTGCAGCCTTTACAAGCAGCCCCCAAACACTCCTCCATCTTCCCAGGGAGCGACTGCCCTTTCTCAGCACCACCCAGTCTGTATCCTGCTACCTGGCTTTGTAGACTCCACCTGTTCCTGCACAGGTGAGCCTCTCTCCAACCAGCTACTCTGGCCTAAGGCTCTCCTATTTGCAGCCTAATTAACTGATCAGGCCCACCCAACCCAACACAGCTCTTGTAGGGCTCACCCCATCATAGCCCAATACAAAGATGTTGGAGAATCCAATAGTAAAGTAGTTGATGATAATGATCCCAATGCCAAGGCATCAGAAACATAACATGCCTCAGAATGGTCATGGTGATGAGCTGAGTTGCAAGACTCAGTGCATATAGTAAGTCGGCCCCTGGAAAATATGTTCCTGTTCCTTGATGAGCTGATTCTGTATGGTGCCCCAAATGAGAAAGTCCTATTGTATTTAGCAGTGATGAAAAATAAGGTTTATAGAAATGTAATAGGGCTTGAGAAAAATTATTCTAAGAACCTGTAGAATTTACTAGAGAATGATATCCTGCCTTTGAATTTTAAACATATCCTATAGAATTATAGCATGGATATATTTCTATAAAGAATTCTGTAGAGTTCAAAGACTCTACAGAAAAGTCCTAGCTCTGAGCGAGCTAGGACAATAGATAGGAGACATAACAAACTTTTCAATGAGATACTGAATTACTGGGTAAGGCAAAAGACAATATTCTGAGAACAATCACATAACTCACCTGAAACTAAGAGTTCCTTAGCTACAATGGTACAATCCCACTGACTGCATATGTGCACCAGTATAATAGAGAGAATCTGGCCCCACAAACTGTAACAGAACGGAATTTGCAGTTTTATGCAGGATTTCATTTTTGAGCATAGCAGAACAGTGACACTTTGTGGCTGTTGCTGTTCCTAGCAAGTAACCAGGCCTGAAACATTCTCCTGAGGTTAAAATTATTGTCCTGTACAACAAGTTTCTTAGACTGTAAAAGCAAAATAGCCAGTTTAAATTTGATTTTGATTCCTTTTGATTTAATAAGATACTCTCAGGAACTATGCTCTGGGGTTTTTCATCATTCACAACTGATTAAAATATATTTCAATTTACGCCTCCCTAAACAGGATTGTTTTTGAACCTGAGTCTTATCATTCATTTAGTTTATTTCTAAACAATGTTATTTATATATATATATATATATAAAAATGACATTGTTTAGAAATAGACTATATAAAGGAAGTGCAAAAGACCATATTCTTTCATACATAGAAGCCTGATCCAAAGCCTATTGATAGAAAAACTCCCATTGATTTCAGTGGGCTTTAGATCAGGCCCAGGATCTGCTCTTTGCTCCTTCCCTTTGCTTTTGTGTATATAAACATATCACCATGAATCAGCTATTCCTTTCTTGAATGCATAAAACATACATGGAATAACATTGTTTATTTACTGCATTATTTTCAAAACTCTCAATGATCTGAGCTAAAGATACCTAAGCACTTCACCATCTGGAAGCTTGACTGCTCTTGATATTTATGCTCCTCAGGACCAATTGGGGAACATCTTATTACTAGAATGGTGCTTATTTGTGCAGGGGACAGAGGCTTTTTCCCATGGGCTGGCCCCAGACTGTGGAACTGATTGTGACCAGGTGCCTGGAATGGACCACACTGAGAATGCCACACTCAGGGCAGACTGCAAGAATCATGGCAGACAATCCCCAAAAACTGGTGGTTTATTCTATAATTAGATTCACCAAGCCAATAACAATAGACCTTCTGCAATACCACATTGGTTAAACAGAAGCCAAATACAGTCCCCCTTAGGCATTCCAACCCTTGGCTCCCATCCAGACAAACAGGTCTAATATAGTGAGAGGTTACTGAAACCCATCTGAGAGATTCTACTAATCCCAAAGGATGAGGCACACCTACTCGCAGGTCACATCTTACTCAAATATCATGCTGTCAACCAATCCTTAGTAAACTAAAGATTTATTAAGAAAAGAGAGGTATAAATGGTTAATAGATCATATACATGCAAATGTTTGAAAAGTCCTTATATCAGGTTCGTAGCAGTGATGGAATAGACTGCTGGCTTGTAAAAGTCTCTCTGGTAACTTCCAAAAGATTGAAAGGTCCTCAGTCCATAGTTCAAGACACTCCTTTTAGTTGTAAATCCACAGTCCAGAGAACTGGAACAGGCAAGGGATAAAATGGAAATGCCTCAACTATCTTTTATATCCTTTGCCATGTGCATGGAAGTTTACTATCCCAAACAAAGTCCTCAGCCCCTGAGTATGGAAAGTTGGAGTCCAGGGTCATGTCCTCACTTGTGCTTTACTGACTCACAGGAGCAGCCATTGCCCATATTGTTTCTGAGGTGTCCACAAGAAAAGCTTACTGGGAGGGATGAGTTTCAATGGCCCATTGTGAGCTTAGTGTCCTTAATGGACCATCAACACACAGCTGTCTAGCCTTGATGTAAATCTCTCAGGGTGGTGTTACCCAGACATACAACACATGTCTGACATACAGATACATAGACAGTATTCATAACTTCAGATACAAAGATAATACATGGATTAAACCAGGATAATCATATAAGACAGATTGTAACTTTTCCATTTACTTCTTGTATGACACTTTGTATAAAATTCGTTGCAATTGCATAGGCTACAACACCCATGGAAAAAATATAAATAGTCATTTTCAATCATACAGCATTACACTCATTACTGTGGCAGCTCAAAAAAACCCACAAACATGTAACATTCTGATCCAGATGCAACATGCATTTCCTTGATCTTTCCCTCACAAATAACACATAGTACTAACTTACCGGAAAAGAGAGAGAGTGCCACGCATGCAATTTTTCTGACTGGAGTGAAGAATGAAGAGGAAACCCTGCATGACAGACATTAGTTTCCTTGTTTTATTTTCTAACTCTGGAAATCTTTCAAATATGACAGTGATGAGTGCAGTATAAGAACCTTAAGAGAATAGAATTAGACGAATGTCATAGGCTATTTGACTGTGCTATACACTCCTCAGGCTGGAGTATTAATTTGTGAACCATATTAGATGCATAAAGTAATTGCCACTGATGAGAACTACAATAAGTTCGGATCTTCCTTTTATGGTACATTTATGTGAGTGAAAAATTGAGAAACCTAAGTAATATTGTCATGTAAAGAAGCAGACATTTCTTCATTTTTAGGGCTATTTTTTATGAGTAATGAGTTTTAACACAGCTGGTGTTGGGTTTTTGTTAAATTATAATCTATTAGCTAGCAATTGAAATCTAACTATCTGGCAAAAGATTTCACAGAATCCTAGAAATTAAAGATGAGATTCATCTATTACAGGCCCAGCCCTTTATTGTGTGAGTGTCCTTCCTCAATGAAGTTAGTGAGACTATTACCCTGAGTAAGGATTGGCTCCTGTGACTTGGCCTGGGATAATTTAGTCCATCTCTCTACTGATACAGGATTATTTCCTACTATATACTTTTCTAATGATTCATCTAATTTTGTTTAATATGCAGCCAGTGCTCAGTTTTCCACCACTTCTTTTGAGACACTACTCCACAGTCTAATAGATAAGGAGTACTTGTGGCACTTAGAGACTAACCAATTTATTTGAGCATGAGCTTTCGTGAGCCACAGCTCACTTCATCTGATGAAGTGAGCTGTGGCTCACGAAAGCTCATGCTCAAATAAATTGGTTAGTCTCTAAGGTGCCACAAGTACTCCTTTTCTTTTGCGAATACAGACTAACACGGCTGTTCCTCTGAAACCAGTCTAATAGATGTCACTGTCAGACAGCTTTTTCTGATATTCACCTAAATTTTCAGAAGGTTAATTTCATATTTCTTCTAATGATATACTTTTACTGCCTTGAATTATTACTCTTCATGTTTGGAGTGTATGGTATAACTAAAATGAACCCAATGAGTCTTGGCTGATACATGTCTGTATTTTCAGACCAGAGTCTACTAGACACCGGTCATCCATAACCACCATTATACCTTGAAGATGGCTATCAAATCTACTTTTAGACATCACTTCACCATGCTATTCGTATTTTCTCTTTTAGTCATTCCTTCCCGATCACTCTTCATTTTCTCTGAATTTCCCCATATTTGTCTATATTTTTCTGGGATTACAGTGCCTAGAAATAAATGCAAAATGAATGTATAGACAAGAAGCTTTGTCAATTTTTATTTCTTTTAGTGTAAAAGACTGTCTCTTGCTAAATAAAATTTAGCTTGCCCTCTATTTGAGATCTGCTCTGATAACTGGAATATTTAAGGCCAAGTTCTCTTCTCACATCTACATTGCAACGCATGTATTGTGATACTGCTCAGATCCCCAGTTGACCTACTACTGCTATCAACGGGAGTTCCATATGCAGTTCAAGATCACAGTGTGGTCTTCAGAAGCTTTTGTAAAAGTTACCCTATTAGTTAAGTAAATTCACCTGTGCTTTTACAATCTGACAATATTTTGCCCTTCAC